CCGGAGCTGGACCAGGCTGGGCTGGCGTCGTGGAACCACTGTACCAGCAAACGCACAGGCAGGTCCACCAGAACCAGTCTAACATGGGATGCTGAGAGACGGCAGACAGGCAGTCTGTGCACTTGGCAGAAAACGAAATGCAAGCAAGCATACCATATATTGAGCAACCAGGAAAGCCTGGAGTTTTTGTCCAGCAAGGAGCCACCCAACAAAGGACGGAATGCCAAACTTTGTGTTGCTGAGACAGCCCCCATGAGGCCGAGGCGGCCCCTGTGAGGTTGAGATGGCCCCTGTGAGGCTGGGACGGCCCCTGTGAGGCTGAGCAGGCCCCCGTGAGACTGAGATGGCATATGAGAATAAACAATGGACACAAGAGACCGGGGGGTGGGGGAGGCTGGGGGAATGTCAAGAGGGGGAAAAAGGAGACATGTGTAATACTCTTTGTAATACTTTAAGAAATAAAACAAAATTTTTTAAAAAAAGGTCAAAGGAGGACCCAAAGTATACCATGATGTAACTATAGAGGCATGCTTATAGAATCAAATAGTATAAATACAGCGGTAACAGGACAATAAATAAGAACCTGACTATGCTGATCATCTGAACGCTGTCTCCATATCCTTCAATCTTCGCCGATGCCGTACACACCTTTGGGAAACCCTGGACTGCTGGGGCTGGACACTAGCACATTTTGTTTTACATTAGACAGTTGATGTGAATCCTTTATTAAAGAAAATTTTTTGATTGTATGTTAAAAAACAACAACCATGGGGTCCTGGGGACGAGGAGAACCTAAAGCCTTAGACTTAAGACCTTAGATCAGTGATGGCGAACCTATGACACGCGTGTCAGAGGTGACACACGAACTCATTTTTTTGGTTGATTTTTCTTTGTTAAATGGCATTTAAATATATAAAATAAATATCAAAAATACAAATCTTTGTTTTACTATGGTTGCAAATATCAAAACATTTTTATATGTGACACGGCACCAATGTTAAGTTAGGGTTTTTCAAACTGCTGACATGCTGAGCTCAAAAGGTTCGCCATCACTGCCTTAGATCTTAGCTCCTTTAGCTAAGCTCCTCTGACTCCCAAATGCCTTTCAAAATTATATTTCATCTCCAAACTCTTTATTAGTATCTGGACTCCTCTTATTTAACATCTATGCACAGCCTTCTCCAGATTCATGAACCCTTCTTGATGCTGGGACAAAAACCCCAGCAGAGTAGTGTGTAATAAACATTCAAATTTTGAACAATACTTGAAAGGCACTTTGGCTGTCTGTCTAGGGTGGATTCAGTCATATTTTGAAATCCATAATCAATTATATACTTAGATAACGTTTTTACATCTTTAAAGTCACTTTGAGGCATAAATTCCTTGGAGTTTTATAAACTGTACATTTTGAACAAAAGTCCCTCCTCCTATAACATGAATGTAGAATTTGTATCCAGTTAAAATACCTGTTACTGACTGAGGCTGTAGGTCCAAGTATATGATTTGCCACATTCTTCAGATTTAAGGTATCCCTCTAGAACAGTGGTTCTCAACCTTCTTAATGCCAAGACCCTTTAATACAGTTCCTCATATTGTGGCAACCCCCAGTATCATTATTACAAATTGAACGTAATTAAAGCAGAGTTATTAATCACAAAAACAATATGTAATTATATATGTGTTTTCCGATGGTCTTAGGTGACCCACAGGTTGAGAACCGCTGCTCTAGAATGAATTCCAATGTGAGGATTAAGCTTCAAATGCTGATTAAAGACTTTAGGACAATGTTACATTTGTATTGTTTCCCCAGTATATGAATTCTGATGTCGGTTAAAGTTTACATTATGGGTAAGCTTCGTCGCATTCTTTATATCTGCGGGAATTCGATCCAGTAATAATCATCAGATGTTGTATGAGATATGAGGATATACACTTTAACATATGCCTGATAATTTATAAGACCTTATTTATCATTCTCAATGTAGCTTCAACCTTTGAAGCTTAAATCCTTAGATGAAAACTTTATTATTATTGCTGTTTCTCGTTAGAATGATTCCTAAAATGTTGAGCAGGTTAGACGACATGTTAAAGGCTTTCTCACATTTTCTACAGTGTAAGGTTTCCCTCCACTGTAAAATCTCTGATGTGCAGTGAATTTTGAGCTGTGAGTAAAGGCTCCAGCCCATTGTCTACATCTGTATGTTCTCTTTTTAGCATAAAGTCTCTCAGGTACAGTAAGACATGAATGCCTTACAAAGCCTTTTCTAAATTTTTGACATTCATAAGGCTTCTTGCCAGTATCAATTCTGTGATATTCTGTAAGTTCTCACAGCCGGTAAAGGACTTACAACACTCCTCACATCTGTACGTCTTCTCTCAAGTATGAACTCTGCTATACAATAAGGCAGAAACAGTGATGAAAGGCCATTATATACTCTACATTTATAAGGCTTCTCTCAAGTGTGAACTCTCTGATGCTTAGTAAGGGATGCGGACCTGCCAAACGATTTGCCACATTCTCTACATTTAAAAGGCTTCTCTCCAGTGTGAACTCTCTGATGCTTCCTAAGGTCTGAGGAGCTGCCAAAGGCTTTGCCACATTCTCTACATTTATAAGGCTTCTCTCCAGTATGAATAAGCTGATGACGATTAAAATCTGAGGAGTAGCTAAAGGTTTTGCCACACACTTTACATTTATAAGGCTTTTCTCCACAGTGAACTCTCTGATGATAAGTAAAGTGTGAGGACCGGCCAAAGGCTTTGCCACATGCTCTACATTTATAAACCTTATCTCCAGTATGAAGTCTTTGATGTACCTTAAGGGAGGAGGAAGATCTAAAGGCTTTGCCACATTCTCTACATTTATAAGGCTTCTCTCCAGTATGAACTCTCTGATGGTAAGTAAGGACTGAGGACTGGCTAAAGGCTTTGCCACATTCTCTACATTTATAAGGCTTCTCTCCAGAATGAACTCTCTGATGACAAGTAAGGTGTGAGGACCGGGTAAAGGCTTTGCCACATTCTCTACATTTGTAAGGTTTCTCTCCAGTATGAACTTTCTGATGTCGAATCATGTTTGAGGCGTGGAGGAATGCTTGACCACATTCTGTACATTTATAAGGCCTATCTTTAGTATGAACACTCTGATGATTAGTAAGAACTGCATGGTTTTTAAAAGTCTTGCCACATTCTCTACATTTATAAGGGTTTTCTCCAGTGTGAATTCTCTGATGAAGAATATGGGTTGAGTGCTGGCTAAAGATTTTGTGACATTCTGAACATTTATAAAACTTTTCTACCCTATGATTTCTATGATGTTGCGTATGTATTGAGGACTGACTAAAGTCTTTTTCATTTTCCCTAAGTTTGTAAAATTTTGCTTTAGTGTGAATTATTCCCTTATGTACAATAAGAGAGGAATGACATTTAAAGGCTTTGCCACATGCTTTACATTTGTAAGGCTTCTCTCCAGTATAAATTCTCTGATTTAGAGTATAACCTGAAGGCCAATAAGATGTTTTACCAAAATTTTTACATTTATCAGGTTCTTCTCCCCTATGGATTTTTTTGTGTCTATTTAGATTGAATATTTGACTGCAGACTCTCCCACACGGATTCCATTTGTGAGCCTGCTCCCTAGTATGAATATTCTCTTGTTCATCGTCATTTGAAGGCTGCAGAAAAGACTGGACACATTTACTTCCTTTGTGTGTCTTCTCCACAATAGGAATAACCTGATGTATGTTGTGACTGGACATTTGATCAAAGACTTTTCCACTTTTATGATGCTCCTCTCCCAGCTCACTTGTCCGATGACTAAGATATGCCTCTAGCTTAATGTTTTTCCAATGTTCAATCCATTGATAACTTCTATCTCCGTTATGTGTACTCTGGTGATTATGGGAGATAGAAAGACCTTTAGTAACAGTTATAATTTCATTAAACATGTACACTTGTTCCATAAAAACAATTTTGTGATACACATTAAATCAAGATGGTTATATAACAAAAGCTTTCCTAATATATTAGACCCAAAAAAAATATAAAATATTATTGTCAGAGGAAGAAAGAGGAATCCTTGTTTGAAAGATTACCAAATTGTCCTAGCTGGTTTGACTAAGTGGATAGGGCACTGGCCTGCAGACTGAAGGGTCCTGGGTTTGATTTCAGTCAGGGGCACAAGCCTGTGTTGTGGGTTCTATCCCCAGTAGGGGGCGTGCCAAAGGCAGCTGATCAATGATTCTTTCTCATCATTGATGTTTTTCTCTCTCCCTCTCTGAAATCATTAAAAATATTCTTTAAAATAACAATCATAAAAATGAATAAACAAAAGATTACTAAATTGCCCTATCAGAATGGCTCAGTGATTGAGCTTTGACATATGAATAAAGAGATCACAGTTCCATTCCTCAGTAAGGGCACATTGCCTGGCTGCCGGATTAGTCCCTAGTGGGAGGCATGCAGGAGGCCGCCAATGAATGATTGTTTCTCATCATAGATGTTTTCCTCTCCCTCTTCCTTTCTCTTACTCACTGAAATCAATTAAAACATATTTTTTAATTAAAAAAAATCATAAAACATTGCCAAATTGAGCACATTTTAATTTTATAGGTACATTATAAATCTATATATTTTAGAAATGATTGAAGTTTAATCCCACCCTGCATTTTAAACAACGCAAATTATTTACACTAAAGACTATGCGAATTCCTAGTTTTTCCAGATTTCCTTTCCAAGAATGCATAACAGTAAAAACTTGTTTTGTACCTTCACGTGCACAAACACACTGATCTACCAATGTAATGGACATCAAATTGGGAGGTTTCCCAAATTCATAATATACTTGACTTCTTTAGGTAAAAAGAAATTTATTATGATAATTTTTCCAAATTAGTTCTGTTTATATTAATATCCTCTATTGTCATCACACTCTTCCTCAAATTTCAAGGCTTTTATTAAGTGTACGTACACTTAGGAAGTGTACACCTTTTATATCTTACCAGTATTATTTCAGAGAATAAATCTTGTATTCCGGGCTTTGGCATAAAGGCCTGGTTATCTTTAGGTGACATAGCTGAAAGAAAACAAATTTTCCGTTTTGACAATCACGTGAGTGCACTTAGAACTTACCAGCAAGTATTGAGCAAATAACATTTTCGAGTACTCCAAGAACCAGTGTAGGATTGAACAAAAGCTCAAGATAGGTACAACGAGGAAAACTCACATCAAAGAGGGACAAAGAGTTGCTTACATTTGCCAATGATACCTGCTCAAATCCCCTGGCACACAATGGCAGTATTATAAAAACACTCCCAATTCCCAGTTTCTTCACTGGAGAGAGAGATGAGGGAAGTGCATTTGTGCATCTTCTATTTGTGGTGTTCTATTAAAGAAACACGCATCACTTTGATTTCTCTTGAAGAACTTTAGAAAATAAAAGGAATAGTCTGAGTGGTGTGGCTCCGAGGATAAGGGTCCGACCTATGAACCAGAGGGCACAGTTTGGTTACCGGTGAGGGCACATGCGTGTGTTGCGAGCTCATTCCCCAATGTGGGGGAGCCAATCAATGATTCTCTCCATCATGGATATTTCTATATCTCTCCCCAACTCCTTTTGTGAAATTAAAAGGTGTTTTGAAAATATAAAAAAATATATAAGAAGAATAAAATCTTAAATCTCTGCTGGCACACATTAAAGATAATGTGATATCAACGTATGTGGGTACATGGGTAAAAATGGCAATCTGCAGAGTTTTTGTATGCAGTTGACACTATGAGTTAGGATACATTGTTATAACTTTAAGATATTTTAAGTAGTTCTCATGGTCACAAGAAAAAGAGAAAATAAAAATAGAAAATAAATACAATGGCCCTAGCTGGTTTGGCTCAGTGGATAAAGTGTCAGCCTGCGGACTGAAGGGTCCTGGGTTCCATTCTGGCCAAGGGCACATGCCTGGATTGTGGGCTCGATCCCCAGGAGGGGGCGTGCAGGAGGCAGATGATCAATGATTCTCTCTCATCATTGATGTTTCTATCTCTCTCTCCCTCTCCCTTCCTGTCTGAAATCAATAAAGAAATATACTTTTAAAAAATAATAAATAAAATGATCTCTGCTAAGATGTGATAGAATTCTGTATTGCAAATCACAGACTCCATATTTCTAAAAATTCAGATATAGATAATAGAATTAATTTCTCAAAACATGCCATGTAAAACCACCCACAAAGTTAGCTGTGTTCCTATAAGGTAACAAATATTAATAAAAAATAAGAAATTAAGTATGTATTTACATGAATAACAGCATAATTGAAAATGAAATATTAACAATTTACTTCCTAAGAAGGTGCATGACTTGTATGCTGTGAAGCATAAAATATTGCTTGGTGCCCTCTGCAGCATGGGCCCACCCACCAAATGGTTGCAGGTTGTT